GTGGTCACTATGTTTTTCATTTTCCAGACTCGATCGTGTATAAAACAGGATATTCATATCACATACAATACACATTGGAATTCAGCGCCAGCGTATTAGTTCGATGTACAAAGATCAATTTGGCTTTTCGAATTGGAACGACTTTGACTTCAAGATCCGGGGTTTGTATGGGGTGTGGTGGGGGGGGGGGGATCAGATCGGGAGATGCGATTAGAAACTCAAAGAGCAGAAAGTTCTGTGGCAGCCGCTGTGACTAATCCCACACTCTGCTTTTGTACAGTCGGAACCATGAGAAATGCAACAGCACGCGTCTTGTACCTCCTGAGAGGCATTCACCAGTGTAATGTTGGGAATATCTTATTTGTCACTATAATGTCTTAAATATTCATTTTAGTATAATTTTCTTATTTGTATATTGATCTTCCAATAAGTCTTCTCCTTTGAAGTTATCCAACTACAATCTTGTTAAAGTTCTCTTCATCTTCTGTGTCGTACTACACGTAGCCCACGAAATAGGACTTGCCCCCAAATAAATTCGCCACGACTCAGAATATTAAAATCGAACAATCTCCACAACTCCATTTCTCCTACTCTCCCGTCGGCATAGCTGCCACATCGTCGCTCTCCTCTTACGTGTATGATAAGTGATTCTAATGCCAAGCCGATGTGGCAGCGCCGCTCTCAAGGAGTCACGTGCTATTTTCTGAACACACTACGCCAGAGAGACTTGCAGAAGCTGCAATACCTTTACGTTTCTAGTCCGGGGACTAGCAGCAGACCATGTGACATATGTGATAGTTGTCTCTCTCTTTTTCTTACGCCCCCCACTCATGTTTCGCAATCCAGCTTTCTATCGGCGTAAAGTCCTTGTTTTAAAAGTATCCCCAGATAAAAGTGATAAGGAAAAGAATCTTTCTCTTCAGAGGCTTTCCGAAAATAATCGGAAACCGCGTGTTAGTTTCGCTATACCCTCCAGTCTACCTGGCTTCTGTTCACATATAACAGTCCATACTACTTCATCCATATCAATGAAACTCGGTACGACTAAAGTAGAATGAAATTTGATTTTGGTTTCACTTGGTTATTTAGTGACTGCATTATTTATAGACGTTAATGGATAGCAATAAATATATATATATATATATATATATATATATATATATATACACGCACATCGATTTTTTTAAGGGTAACTTTATTTCTAGCCTAGTTTAAATATCGTACCGGATCGTTTAGGCCTAAAGCCGACCTCTGTCTTTCTACAGATTTAACAGAAACTTTCTATAACACACATGTAACTCCATGTAGCAGAATACTTCTTGAGAAGATGATAGTGGTTTAGCTAATCAAAGAAATTCTTCACGTTTTATGGTACCCGAAACTTCAATAAAGTTTTCACGAGAGCCGGCCTACATATTTCTTACCCAATGTCACATGAATCTAGTGCACTTCGCCATGTTTGATTAAAATCAATTACTGAATTACATCCCTCATTTATGCATACGTCTTCCGAGTGAGCTCTTCCGTTCAGTATTTCCAACAACCAAAATGTTCCCTTCCCGTGCTGCAAGTAACGCTCAACTCTTGCTCATTTATTGTACCACCCTCAAAATATGATACTTACATTATACTATTGTGAGCCGGGATAGCTCAGTCAGTATAGTGACTAGCTACGGGCTGGACGACCGGGGTTCAGTCCCCGACGGGGGCAGAGGATTTTTCCTCTAGTCTCTGCGTCCAGACCGGCTCTGGGGCCCACCCAGCCTCCTCTACAATGGGTACCGGGGGTCCTTTCCCGGGGGTAAAGCCGGCCGGAGCGTGATGCTGACCACTCACCCCCATCTAGTGCCGAGGTCAAGGAAGAGAGGAGCTATACCTCCACTCCCCCCAAGCGCCTACATGGCGTATAGCGGGACAAACTTTACTTTTTCATTATACTATTATTATCATGTGTTTCATTCACTATAATTTGTTTTTAAGACCCACATCACATCTGAAAGCAAATGAAATTATTGTTGTAGCTTTCTGAGAGGAAAGCGCCCTTAGTTAAAGGAAGAATATCGATAAGAAACGATTATATATTTGGCCTATACGAATATCTGTTTATAAGTAACTGGTTTTCAGAAAATCGCTAATCTACCTATATAGTACACTATCGAAAGCGCCCGTTCGATTATTCATATCTTACCAGCTGTTTCTCGGTATTCCAAATGGCATTGTCCCTTGAGGTCATTCGCCTAAACTGTTGTGTCTTTTTCTCACCTAGACAGTAGACAAGCAGACAGGCGTAACAAAATGTGCAGTTCCGTCTTCATACCACTCTAGAGGTTAATTTGCAAGTTCATCTTGTTTGTTTCGTGCCACATATTGGAGAGCAGGTTTTGAACCCACAGCAGAGAGAGCGACTTTCGAACTTTACCCCTTCGCGCTGAGAAACAAGTCTTACTGAGTCGGGGAAACATGCTTTCTTGACAGGCAGGACGTGCTGCTCGTGCTGCTCTCTGGGGACTGCCTGTCGCACTTGACGTATGCTATGTCTACTTCCATTAGCGTTTGTAACGCTTTCTAATTACTTATAACCCACAGTGTTTCAACACGCCACGCGAACCACCGATGCCGGTTCAATATGATTTACCAAAAATCTTACAGATGGAAGCACGAATTTATACTTTTAATTGTCGTTCGGTATTTGCTCATCAGACGGCTACGATGTCCTCCGCTTTGTAGGATTTGAGGTTTTCACGGCGATGAGTCTGCAGATGGCTTCTACCCGACTACACGGCGCAACAACCCAGAAGACAGCCATCTTCATGTTCTCCGCTTCTTTATGTACTTTATATATATATATATAAGTATTCTGGTATGTTTCAAAAATTATCTTCAATATATATTACTTTGTTTTCTATTTTACTAATATTCATTTAACCTTTATGTTATTTACATTACAGACTGATACAAAAACAACAAAACGTTCACCCACACTAAAGTCACATTGAGCATGATGTATATATACAGAACAACATCGAGTATGAAAAATGATGGTCTAATGTAAATCGAATATTTCGATAAAGAACATCATTTAATATTTTAAATATTTTAAATGTTAATTATTGTAATATTTTAATATTTAATAAGAATTATTGTGATTAGACGGACAAGATTTAATATATACTTATTATATCACAATATGACGCAACTTTACCATCTTATTTTATGTACTTTGTTAAAATTGGATTAAAATAAAAGTAACAAATATTTTATCACTAATATGTTTCTGTGTACTTTTGTACAGATGTGTATAAAATATTTTCACCTAATAAAGGATTAAATTAACGCCAAGATGGTCTGCCTTCAAATAGGTCACTACCTCTTCCTTCCAAATCCTTACATACTCATCAATAACCTAAAAATTCGGCTTAATGCATCGCCTAGTAAATGGTGATGTGCCACCGTTTGCCCCCTGCTTAAGTTTCAGGGGTCCCCACTGTTTGTTTAAATCCGCTCGCAGCTGGGCCCAGTCTCTTGAACACCCTAAATATTGATGGGCCGATATCAGACGCACGCTCCGAAAACTCAGTTTCCACTGCAGCGGCCTCATAGCAACTCACCTACAACTGACTAAATCTCCGACATTATACTCAGAAGCTTCGTCACAATCATTAAAAGAAATCCCTCCGGAAAATCACTTCCTACTTCAGCTGAAACCTGCCCAAAGTACGACAACCTAATAAAAAAAAGTTAACCCTTCGGATCCAAAGCTCGTCTACATATTTAAATATTTATGTCGTACCGCAAAGAAAACACAACTCAATCATTACAAAGACCAGTCGGTTAATGCTATTTAAGGAAATGATCGCTGTTTGTTCTGAGAACAATACGAAGCCATATATATACACTCTACGGGCAAGATACAAAGATACTGAACGTTAACGTCGGTGGTACATATAATTACCATTCGGCCTTAAAATGTGAATATTGTTTCCCCACTGATGCCCTGGTCGCTAACCTCTTTTATAGCTCCTACGAAATTCGTCCATGTTTTTAAGCATCGTATTGAACTTACCGACAACGGAGGTTCATAAATCACAAATTTCCTCGGTTTTGATATTTTCCATAGAACTTTGTTTTGAAACGCAAGAAATTTCCGTTCTCACCTCATTGTTAGAAAATGCGTTTCAGAGTTACACAAAATAATTGTTTCTCTATTGAATTATTTTTACAAAACTGAAGACATTATGAGTTTTCAAACTTGAAAATAGGATTTTTTTCTGAGCGTATTTTCTGAATTTAATATTAAACCACCGTTTCTGTTTTAAAAAATAAATCAGTACACCCTCGGATCGTACCATAGCTCAGGCGTTTTTTTATTTCCAAACAAAAGTCCCATATTTACGCCTAAGTCCATGTGCTATTTGTGGTGGGACTTGATTTTCTCGAAGGCCTCCCGTAATTATCATTCCACTGGTGTTCCATATTCAATTACGTATCATCTGGGGGATACACAAGATTCGTAGAAAGACCGCTGGCAGCCCAGTGCCACAGCGATGTAGCCTCACTCGATTGCAACAACAACAACAACAACAAAAACAAAGAAACACGTGATTAGTGCAACCTGCAAGGTCCTTCACTTGGTATGTCACGAAGACCTGTCGTCGCTGAATAACGCGATTGGTCGAAAAACCTTGGAGATGTTTTTGCAGAGTAGTAGAAAACAGTAGTGAAGGAGACACAGGTACTACAGAAAAAACTGTCATGTCAACGTTGCAACATCATCATAAGTTTTTTATGGCTGCTATTATAAAGCGCGCAGCGCCGTAGCTGCTCGTCCTAGAACAAAGTAAATACCATAACTTGAGATTGGAAACACGTGATTTGAGACCAAAATTTCCCTGTTAAAAGTTGCCTGTTTTTTTTGCTAAATAACCTCTTCTCCTGTGGTCCCAGCCTATCGGGACATAACGTATTAAGTACAGAGTAACGATGTTTACGTTGTGTTGCAGGTTCTGTGTGGGCGACCGCTTCTACCTGTGTGACAACAAGATCCTCTGCGAGTACGACTACGAGGAGAGACTCGTGTTCGCCAACATGGCGGCGTACAACCATCCCAGCCTCGCCCACATCAAGCGACAACTACCACAACACCCGGTACGACGTCCGCTCCCACACTTTTACTCCACTCGCCAGGTAGCTTAGAGCAGTGGTATTCAACCTGGGGTACGCGAAGACATCTTAGGGTGTACGTGAAATTTAAAAAAAAAATTATTTTATGATAAACACTGAATAATAAGTAATGTAATTTATTTAATTTATTTTAGATGTAGATTATATACTATGTATAACTTGAATTATACATCAACAACTTTGGGGGTACAAAGTTGAAGAGAAATTATATCTGGGGGTACGCGAACAAAAAAGGTCGAATACCACTGGCGTAGAGTATAGGAGCTACAACGTAGCCTACATCAATTGTAGGAATCTTATTACGCAAATAAAATATGCGTCTTTGGAGGCGTCGAAGTTTGGAAGTGCTGAGACAATCCTCTTAATGCAACTATGCAAAGATAGGAAAATACAATTGGGTAGAGAAGTGTCTGTTAGGATCTCGGAAGATCCATTTTAAGATGGAGCTTTTTATTAAAATGGGTCGTAAGAAAATAGGGTTTGGGGACATGGATTTGATTCATATGGCCTAGGATAGGGATCATTTGTGGGCCCTTACGAACACCGTAATGAAACTTCGGGTTGTGTAAAAGGCAAGGAATTATTATATAAACTGATCGCAGTATTAGTCGCATAGCAGCTTGCGCAGTACGTTAGTTCCTTTGCTACTTAGGTATTGCATACAGCGCATGCGCCTCGCTACATGTGGGGAAAAGCCTCGTATTAGTTTTCAATCGCACGATCAGATACGCAGTGTCTGGAGCGGTCACTGTAAGCTAGTGGCGCTGATAACGCAGTGGCCGAGTGCCAGGGAATATCCAACACCTAAATCAAAGGGATAAAAAGGAGACAAAAACTGGAATCCAAGCGCGTGTCACACTTTCACAAAACGTTGGTTTTCTACGAGTTTCATTGCTGCCAGCAGACTACGCGCATACGAAACTTTATTCAGCTGTTTCTTACGGCGCTCTAGGCCGTACCTAAAATATTTTACAATTCTGTCTCAGTTCCTGTGGTTTTATAACCCCGTAAGACGACAAAAAAATCCGATAAAAATTAATCATGGCCTGTTTTATAGAAAAACTATTGAACATTTGTCAGGTTATGAGAATGTTTTTATTCAACAGAATTTCTTTTGAATATAAAGATTGCGTGATGAAAGGGAGAATTTTTCTTTAAACTATATTTGATTAATTCAACTGCTATCTTACAGTAAATCCCTTCTTTTGTTTGTAACGTTAGATCTGTTTTAAATGAACTGGCTAGTAGCGAAGTTTCTGATTGGAGAATCGACTCTGTATATATTGCTCATAACTTTCGGCTATCCTCGCCAGCACCACGAAGTGCTCTGAGATCAGTCCGATTATGAAATTGGATAAATTCAGATACGGAGGCTGTGAAAATGCAAAGCTGAGCAAGACAGTAAGGTGTTTGCTTCATAATGTATAATGCAACTTAAAACAACTTCTTCCTTTTAATTTCGACAGTCTGTGGAAATTTGATACTCTGACATTCACGCTCCATTATATTTTATGAACCAAAGGCACTACAAAAAACGTTCAGTGTAGGCACACGCCTTGACCCACACGCGCTGCTTTACAGCCTAAACGTAATAATTTCGGAACCGATAGTACAAAGAATATCCGTATATTCTATCGCTTTGTGGTCTTCAATTTCCTCCTACGTGTATACTGTTAAAGGCCACCTAGGCTCCGAGTTGTGTTGCGGCCACTGTACAGAACTAGAAAGCGTGGAAGTTTCGAGTTTCCATGAAACTTGATATCGTTCAGTTGTGATAGCGTCCCTCTCCTGTGGTAGGCATCGACCCGCGGGCTCCAGGCAACAACCCGCGTCTCTTCTGTTGAGTCATTAATCAGATTCCCGCGCTCCACTAGGCCTCGACACACGATCGCTGTAGTGGAATGGTTGAACAAGCACTTATTTATATCAAATCTAAAACTTCTTGACGATGGTGAAGAGTCAATTGAATAAAAATTTCCTTGGATATTATCCATCGTCTAGTAAATATAAAACGTAAAACGACGTTTCGGAGATGGGACTAGTCCGGAGATAGGGATTAGCTCTATGTAGTGGGCCCAACTGTGTAGGAACCTGAAGACGGAGATAGAGTCCCATCTCCGAGACGATGGATAATATCCAAGGAAATTTTTATTCAATTAAGCACTTATTTGTAGAACTTACTTATGGAAATCCCGTCTTACACAGTTAAAATTCTTTTGTCTGCGTAGCCATGAGTGTTTCTTAAAAGGTGATAATTATTACATAGCTGTAATGGACCCAAAGCCGTTTTCACAAAAGCCCTACTTTGGACTTTAACCTGAGCCAGTTTAATTAATTCTCAACACCTTCACGCGATGTTTTTTTGACGATAAGTTTTAATATTATCAACCTTTGTCTCCAAAATTGTCTCTGCCCCTCCGATATCCTGACCAAATATCTGTGTGCAGTTTTTATTTCTCTCGTGAGTTTTACGTGTCCAGTCCACTTCATCCTCCTGTCTGCCCCCGAAGATCTTCAGAACACGATGATTCTGCATTTCACAATATTTGCAGTGTAAAATGATTTTAAAAAGTATTATTATCGATGTCGTTCCACAAGTCATTCCACGATGCAGACTGTCAACGGCTGATACATTCGTCCCTTCAGAAAGAGAATGAATTTTTCCGTCGTGCTAGTTCAGCTGATCGCCTGTAGGAGGTGCCGCTTGAGGTCTCAATTGGCTCAAATCGCGTGTCATTTGTCTGCGGTGCTTTGCGCGCGTTATGTTAGGATGCCTTGGCTTGGGAACCAGGCCACCTGCAAGGCATGCTGGGTAATTTGCAGGCTTCAGATCAGAAGCGAAGGGGCAGTTTAGACTCCACCCTGGACAAATGAGCCCCAAACATGGAAACCTCACAACATTAGTTCACAGCGCTGCCACGCTCTAATGATTCTTCTCCTCTTTCTTTTTTTTTTTCTTTTTTGTGTGAGCTGAACACGCAGTTCGGATTTGCAGCTTCATTAGCTGGATCGTGATACATTTTAGTCAGCCATAAGTTTCATTTGTGTTCAACTCTTAATATTTTACAACTACTTATGCATTCTTATGTTAATCTCGTCTATGAGACTATTTTGTATGGCCAGGACATTTCCCCCCCGTTTTTATGTAACGCTAATCGTGGCTCACTTTTCTTCTTACAATAATCTGGACGTAAATTCCTCCAGGCGCGTGTTCCAGGTTAAAGAAAATTGTCATTAAACATGATATGATGCTGTTACAGTTATACCATTACGTGAAATATAACCAAGTCATTAAATTCTAGCGGTTAGAACGCTGGCCTTGTAATCCTGGGGTCTCGGGTTCGATTCTCGGCGGTGCCCGAATTTATAACTTGTGTTGGGCAAGGCCGTGGTCTAGGCAACACGGAGTTTTCCTCCGTGGCATCCCAACAATTACTCCATTCACACACAGAAGAAGGCAATGGCAAACCACTTCTGGATCATCTGCCAAGAACGTATATGAACAGATCCCAGTCCGAGAAAAGGATGGAAGAAGGATCCTGTTCATATGGACCTGACCTGTCGTCAGACAGAACACTAAAAAAAAAAATGTTATACCGTCGTTCGACGTCGGAACGTTTTTCTCTGACTTACGCCCTTCTTCCAGTCCATTAATGACCTTTCCTTTTGTTCGCCTTTTTGTGAAAACTTTTATGTCGTCTTGTGCCGATCCTTTAGCGAACGCCTCGTGACGTTGTTTGCAGTTCTGCTCGAAGCGGTGCCCCGTCTCTGATCCGAGCCTCCTCAGTGGTCAATGTCCGACGTAGCGAACCGCAGCATACCATCTAATTATTCTGCCAATTAACATTATATCGTCGAGATCATAATTTTCTCCCTTTACTTCTTTTCTAAAATCTTTACAAATCATCAAACTATTTTGTACTCTTTTTTTAATGATCCCCTTAGTAAGAGGAAATAACAGAAATTGTTCTTAAAACTGATTCTAATTGTAGCTTTCTAGGAAGTTACATTTTTACCTGAATCAATGGCTTAGCTCAGTGGGTATAGCAGTATTATGAAATAGCTTATAGATTGACTGGACATACAGACCGCATAGCGAAGAGATGAAAACTACAGGGCTGTTAATGCGTATTTTAATTAATTGTGCCTCATTACTCGATGATTCTGTACGATTTGACGTGCGGAATATTTAATAAAAACATGCTATGAAAATGATAAACAGTTATTTTATACTTATTTAAATTAAAATGTCTAACAGAAATGTCGATCGCTTGGGTCTGCCAGTTATTTGTTTCAGCGATTAACTAAGCAACGGAAAGTATTTGCAGTCATAAAGTCAAGAGATTGATAAATAATAGTACAACAGAATTAATTATTATAACGTAGAACTGCATTAATGAGATAGAATTATATACAAAGTGAGTTATTGTCACTTCCAGTTCCTTGAAGAAACAATTTTACGCTCGCTCGCTCGTGCAAGAGTTTAAAATTTCAGAATGTTCTAAATAGTTCAAATGTTTTGCGTTTTATCCTAATTAATGCACTCTTTATGTTCCAGATTACTATACCTAACCATTTAGAAGCGACTGGTATTCTACGATCAACGGTGATCGGTTTAAGTAGTAATCTTCCACCGCGTTGCACTCTGGGAAGTAACAGCGACATTGTTGATCGACACGCTACTAACGGCGAGACGGGGAACCACAGTAACAATGGGTTTCTTCCAGCTACCACCGTGGCGCCCAGCTTCGACACCAAATGAAATAGTTGGTAATAACTGGCGCCAATATCGTTTTATCGTATCAGACAGTGTCGTGTGTGCCGAAGGAGGTGCTGGATCTCTGGTAGAAATTTTTAACATAATTGTTACATTTCCTCGTGTAATACATAGTTTAATCTTAGCGAGATGGTTTCAAACCGTGGCTTTGTACAAGAATAATGAAAACACTGGGAAATTCTTGTAACTTTTCCGCCTATTTTGGTGATCTGGTGGGACGTACGTATAGTTTACATGTCAAAGGCATGGACATCTATATTCTGGAAACAAATATTACCTTCAACCATCAATATTACAATTAATATTGGCGTCATTAAACATACGACCGTCGATTATTGTGATCACAGAAATTTAAGATAACACCTCGAATGGGGCTACGAATTGTTTATGGTCATGGCTGTACAGAATATTACGTTGTGTTTTTTATGACTTATCCTATGTTTACTTGTTTGAATCGTTTTATTTCATATTTTAAGGAGACTAAGGCCATAATTATTCAACTTGCTAATATAAACGTCTGTCGAGATGTTAAACTCGTTCGAAACCCAAAACTGGCCCTATATATATATATTGGGGTAATTTAATTGTTAATACCGATTGGATCACAGCGTATGAATCATGAACAATAAAAATAGATTGCTAATTTTTGCGTCACAGCATAGAAGCAAAACCATATAAATATTATAGCAAACGAAAACTGCAGATTACCTGACCTCGATTGGTTACGGTCCTGCTTAAACAATCTACGTGATCCTTTAAAGGTGCATGAAACTTACGATCTCAGTGTCATGCGATTGCAAGCAAAGGTTATGAGACGAGCACAATTTCCAAAACTGCTCACTCTAGCTCGTCTGGCACCAGATGGCAGTGGAGTCCATCGTGGCATCACGCTGTCATTGAAAATGGCGCGCTACATGTGATTCGCCAGGATATAAGATTTGACTGCACACTGATCTTTAAAAACTGTCATGGTTAAGATGTTTTGCACTTCAGCTGACACAGACAGAACGGGAGAAGTTAGTCCGTCGAATTTCAGGTTCTTTTAATAAAGACACTTGATTTTACTTGTCTTCAATCCTTTTCACGACGTTACAATTCGACATTTTGTTGTATCGATGAAATCTACTTCTAACATGTAACTTCGACAAAACGTGCTTCTGTCCTTATAAACATGACATGGAGAGTTAATTATCAAACTAACAACACTTAATTCGTTTTAGTAGAATTTCTTATGACCTCGGTTTTGAGCAGCTATGTGAGCTGTAGAAAATTCAGCAGGGTGTACGATGAAGCTTAACCATGTTACGAGTAACTTTGTGTAGCAATTCAATTCGTAGGCCTACTTATATCAGCTCCGGAGGGAAGGAACTGACATTTCTCTGTGCCGAGTTTAAAACAAAAGTCCAGTGAGTGGGGGTAGCTACTGTGATTGGGGATGTCCCAAAGCTGTGGGTTTATTTAAATGTTTTGTCTCTAGATGTATTTATGATTTACATAATTGTTGAAAAAAAAATTTAAATTACTCCCGAACTTGTTTCTCTGAGGTAATTAATTCTATTTCTACTACCGGGCGTATTCTAGCAACGCTATCTTGTTTTTCTCGGTACGAAGTGCCGATGTTCAGCCGTAATGCTCTAGGGAACACTAATTGTTCCGAGTCTTAACGATCCGAGTACGCAATATCCCATCTGTCGCTATAAATACCAGAGTTTAAAACCACAACGACGAAAAGTCGCTTAAACATGTATATTTTCTTAACCGTGTTCTACCAGTAGTATCTGTCACCAAATGACATGCTTCAAGGTAAAGGAAAGTCGCACAACTTTGCAACATGAACAGCGGAGTCCAGGCGAATGTACTGTCCACAGATCACGAGAAGTCGTTTCTGGGGTGGTGCAGGGGGAATGTCTACTGCCTGGTGGACTAGAAGGCTGCTATTGGTGGGAAGTGTGATACGTCAGAGTTTTACGCTACTACACACAGACTGAAAACATCAAACATTTGAGATTAGCGTGTAGTGAGTGCACCTCTAATGTGTTCTGTGGGCGTTGTCATAATATTCTAGATTAAATAACTTTGCCACTGTGAGGTAATCTTAAAGCTGTACCCATCAGAAAACATGAGAGCCTGTCGTCTGTTGTTCGTTCAGTGGTCGTGGAACGAATGCTTTTAGGATCGGTCGTCACTCACCGCGAAATCTTGCGCATGCGCGTATATCGAATTCCTAGCAGGGAGTTTTCTCCTGATCCGTGGACTGTAGGCAATACTCGCAGAACACGTAACGTAGAAGAGTTAGCAATGCTGTACTGTTGACTTGGAGCCGAGCGGTAGAGGGGCTGAAGCCCTTCTGTGGCCTTGACGCCTACTAGAGACAAACAGCTGATGTGCGGTTTCGTTGGTGAATGGAAGCGAATTTTAAAATAATTCAGTGTTTATATGAGGTATGTTTTACAAACTACCGAAAATCGCAAGAGCTATAAAGCGAAAGAAAAAGCATAATGATATTCATATTGAGAGAAAATAAATGCAGTTGTTTAAAGTTGAGAGGACATTTGTGTGGATAACTACGGTAATACTAGACGCAGCTTGGAAGTCGCTTAGTGCTGAGTTTCAGAATGTGTGGAGCTAAGCCTCCACATGCAGTACTTACAAGGAAGAAACTCATCTTCAGTACTGGTTGCAAATGGAATGAAGAAAGTGATACTGAATTAGTTTGTCCGTAAATGCGACGAATGGCAGAACGGGACAGATTAAGCTATTTTAAATGCTCTCTCCCGTGAGGATGGAAGACTTAAATTATTACCGCTTTGAAATCGGGAGCTCCCGGGTTCGTCTCTCAGTTAGGAGGCAGGGTATCCAGACTTTTTATGGCTTATATTAGTCCGCCCTGGGTGAATTCTAGGATACCGAATTAAAGCAGACCTTGACCGTAATCTTTCATATTCTTCGTAATAATTCATAATGGATCATCGCCCTATCATTCGACGCAAAGAACATATATTTATGATAATTTGTGTTTAAATTGGTGGCTGCCTTATGGGTTGTAGCGCTGATGAGTAAATTTTACTCATTACTCTGACGATGGAGGCAGCAGGGATCTCTGAAACGTTGGTAGACTTCTACCAGACTACGCGGCACTACAACCTACAAGACAGCTATTTTATAATCTTACTTGGAAATGTGTTTCTGAGTGCGTTTTGAGGAATTAATCAGTTTCCAAAATTTTGCATAGGGTATTTTAAATGTTCACACTTCGGTGCATTTCGATTTAAGGAAAAACGTTCTGTGAAGGAATTCTTGGACATTTGTCTGGGCGCTGGCACAGAAATGTAAACTGCATTGATCGAAGCAGCGCTTCATAAAATGTGATGACGGAGCTAAAGAAAGGCAAGTGGACGTGACCCGCATTCTAGCGGCCAATATGTGAACTATTCATGCGACAGTTGACTGGGGAAATAACTCAGCATACATCTTAAACAGCTTCTGGTCCCATTATTGTTCAATATTGAATGATTTGATATCATTCCACTAGGACCATCGCCAAATCCACCACGAAATGCTCATCCGTTTGTAGCTTCGAATCTTCAATCGTAAAAATAAGACGCCATCTTTAACCACAATAAAACAAAAGAACATCACCTGATATTTGTACATATTTTCACTTCCCTGAGATTTGTGAATTATAACTTCATTCCTATATAAAATTAAGAAAATCTATGCAGCAAGCTGTAATTTGCTATACCCTCAAAGAGTTACATAGCGTATAAACATAATCATCATCATCATCATCAGTAAATATAAAATTCCTACTGCCTCCATTTCAAAGCGTCTATCTCAGTAGCCCAAAGGTGCGAGTTAAATCATTATTTTGAGAATTATAAAAGATGTTCATATTAATTTATAAAAACTTCTGCGGGCCGTGAAACATTATCATTGTGCCACATTATTACATTTCAACCCCCCAAATGTGTTAATGTCATGAGGTACGTGTTTTTATAACCTGTCGCCCTAAGGCATTCGAGACACACAAAATTGTTTATCAGTTATAAATAAAATTAAAAGTTAATACGGTATATTTGGGGAGGGGGCGAGTGTTTTTATGTAACAACATTGCATTGAAAGGGTAATCTAATGCACGTATATGAAACCAAAATATAATTATTTTAGTCAATAGTCAGAAATTTGGTTTGATAAAAGTGAACACTTGTAGTATGTAAATTATAAAATATTGAAAGGAATTGGTGACGTTACAAAAATCCTAAATGGATGAGATATGATAGCGGTTATATTTTTCTTTATTTCCCACAAGCAATACATCACGGAGTTGACATCGGCATTCAAGCTTCGCGTTTGGGAGGACCTCGCGTCAAATTTCGACCGCGAGGTTTATCGTGATTTTCCTCAGTGCCTCCAGATAAATTTCGAAAAACAAGTGTAAACGTCAACATTTATGAGTTTTGAGAAAAATTGTAGGTTCGCTATAGGCTGCTCTGTCCTATGCAAGATTTTAAATTACTTCTGGATTGGAGTTATAATGTAATACACTTTTATTAAAGTTTACGAAATTTGGGGCCCACAAAACAGGAACTGCACTTTTTGATAGCGGGCGCTTCCTTGCCTTGAAATCAGTTGTAAATTCTCTCTTGCGCCGAAGTCTTCTGTAATTCGTGTATGTGGATAACAGCTGACTGATGCTTCCTGTTTCGTGCGCCATCTTGTGTTACACTGCAGGTGTACAAACATGTGATATGGTTTCGAGATGTAGCCAGTAGAGTGCAGCACTGTACGTACAAATGAGATGTATACCAAACTGTAGACTAAGTGTAATGTAAAATAAAGTAGATATTGTTATCCTGACACGCTCTCTCTTCCCAGCTAAAGAAACATCAAAAGTTCAGCTACTAAATAATGAACTTAACATATTACAAGCAATGACAGAACATCCTTGCCTTTTCCAATATATTATTCAAACCAATAACCATCCGACGCTACAAAGTATGAGGTACTGGCAACTTCGTAAAATAAATGTATAAATTATAAGTTAATTAGTGATCAATTCATTAATTAAGAGAAGGAACGTGTTGGTCCATGACCTGTCCTAATACTAACATGTATTAGACCTACGATAAACAATGTATATTAACGCTATGTTTATCATCACATGATCTAATAGAAGACTGCTTCTCGGCCTGAAGGCCATTTTTATTTTATATCCTTCGAAATTTTTCTTAGTCTCTCAAAAAGTTACCGGGTAGTACCTTAAAATAAGCCACGACCTGTTTCCGCCTACCTTATTTCCACGTCATAAAGATCGTCATTTGACATTATTATAAGTTATGGAGTTGATAAAGTGTCGTTAAATAGATTCTTCAAACACGATGCATGGACAGCCCCGCTGGGTCTCGAACCCTGTCCCATGTAACATATGGCTCCGCCAGCACTGTCTGTAGCAACCGCCACCAAATTTCATGCTTCAAGGTCACATCAAATGCTTATTACCGTTGCACCAGTAATAGGTGCCCAGGTGAGCGAAGACAGCTCAGAACTAGCAGCAAAGCAAAGCTAGCAGCGCTGTACTGCAGACTTTCAGCCGCGCAGTATGCGGGGTAGAAGGGGGGGGAGGATTAAGCCCTTCCGTGACCTTGAAGCATGCGATTTGATGAAGGACACTTGTGTGTGCGTCGTGCATTGCTTATGTCGCGGTACGTTCAACGCTAATGGTAAGTATATTCATCCCAAGGATTAGATACTCAAATCTGATTCAGAATTAATTTGCAGTATATTTTCTGGGCAATATATCTCACAGAATGATTATTGTTATATAGAATCTGAAGATTCATCAGCATCGCCGTAAAAAATTAAACGTTTGACCGTAATCAGAACACATCTCAATTCACATCCTCATAATATAGTGAGCTCGCTTGCTAGCTGTCCGTTGTGCTGCAGACAGATGCACTCAGCACGGCCCGGTCGGTGCACGGAACGGCCAGGTATCATAATAGCTGTTTAAAGAAATTACTAATTTCAATGTAATGTCTGTTACCCGTCAATAGAATGTGGAGTGCCTTCATGATTGAGGCTGAAACCACCTCCGAAACGTCTGTAAAATTCTACCATACACTACACGGCACAATAACCGAAAAGACAGCTATCTTTAAGGCAACGTTTTTTGAAAGGATAGAACAGCGTGGAGGTGCGCGCGCACCTTCAGCTCCTCACCTCGTGCCACTATGATCAGGTGATCTGGTCCCATCAGTACAAGGAAGACACTGGATTGAGTATGTATGCAGTCGGCAACAGAGCGAGCTCACATTTTCATTGTGTTGCCATGGCTTCCCTCGATATTAACATAACATGAAGAAGAAATAATATGGGCTACTTTCCGCCAACGCCACTAGACACTACCTGAAGAACACGGTATCCGGTAAGAAAGCAGTTGCTCTCCTAGTCGCCTAGATATTAATGGTAAATAACAAGAAAATCTGTGAAACTGAACCAAATTATAGAAATGGTCGCTTTTCCGCATAG